CGTAAAACTAAAGGCCTACGCGCCATTAGGCCGAAATGCCGTAAAACTAAAGGCCTACGCGCCATAAGGCCGAAATGCCGTAAAACTAAAGGCCTACGCGCCATTAGGCCGAAATGCCGTAAAACTAAAGGCCTACGCGCCATAAGGCCGAAATGCCATAAAACTAAAGGCCTACGCGCCATTAGGCCGAAATGCCGTAAAGCCAAAGGCCTACGAGCCACAAGGCTGAAACGCTGTAAAACTAAAGGCCTACGAACCGTGAGGCCGAAGTGCCCTAAAACTATAAACTGAACCCTAAAAGCAGTTCGGCCCAACTAGATATGCGACAAGGTGCGCTCATTCATCGCATACATTCGTCATACATTCATAACATACATTCATCATACGTTCACGCATTCTCATATGATCACATCATGCATACCACCTCGTAAGAAACACAGAGCTCAAAGCTCAATCAAACCAAGAGCTCAAAGCTCACTCAGACAGATAGCTCTCAGCTCACTCATGTCGACAATTCAAAATGCATTTCTGCATAAAAACGGGTACCAAATTAGCCGACCAGGCTGCTCAGGCCCCATCCAATTGCAAATTCGCAAAATTGCCCATTCTCTCAAATCGACTCAACTCGTCAAAAGATTAAAGAGCATGATTATTGTAAATACGTTAGGCCAAAGCTTGAAATGATCAACAACACGTACAAGGGTCCCAAAGTGCCCGAAAACAACAAAACAACGATCCAAGTAACCAAAGTTACTCGATAAAGATTAAATGAGTCCTCGAGATGCATAAAGTAAAAGCCGACAAAATAAATGTGATCTCTTGAACCACGCAAAAATTATCCGACACGCACGCTCGTCGGCATATTTGCGATTTCACCAATATCTCTCATTACACGTAGATCCTAACGCCATAAAAAGAGCTCAAAGCTCAAAGATCATGAGGTGAAAACATCGCCAAATTATCAAGAATAAACGCGACTTCAGAACAGTTCAATCAGAACATGTCCTAAACTCGGGGGCCTCCTGTTGATACCTAATTTGGCTCCGATTAAAAATAAAAAATAAAATAATAAAATACGGCCAAATAATCAATGAGCCGACAATACGAAATAAATAAATGTACAAACACGTTTTCGGTACCGATCAATCAGAAGCCGCCTCAGATAGACGCCAATCGAAGCCATCAAAGGTCATAAACGGGACCCACGGTGATTAATCTCACATTAGTCAAATAATGTACCATTTTTTGTTTATTCTATTGTCCACTTGCAAAAATAGTGAAACATGTATATATATGTGAAAAGAAGAAATAGAAAGGGACTCACTTCCCATTTTTTTTCATCTCCCCCAACAACAAAAAAAGGAGATTTCTCTCCAAAGTAATTAAATTCACCTATTCTCAATTATTTTTTGTTCTTAAATTTCATACAAGCAATTCGTATTATTTTTTGCGATTGATCGTCCAATTTTCGACATCAACATTTGGTATTATAATATTTTATTTATTTTATTGATTTATTTATTTATTTTATTTTTAAAAGATAAGTATAATAAAAAGATTTTAATAATAAAAAAAATCAAATACCAAATAAAAATGTACACTTTGACTTATTTGATTATAATTGGTATTTGATTATACCAAATATATTCGTATTTAGTATATACATTAAATACTTTCTAAAGTACTTATT